ATGTCACTATTGCCAGTGCTGGATTTTCTCTCTCTGCTGCCCCAAGGCCAGGTTCCTCAATGTGCCCCCCTCCCTGCCAACTCCCCAATGGAGAATGGCAACCAGATGGTGGGGACAGCAGGGTTGGTTTTATTTATTTTCTTCATTATTATTTTTTTACATTTTTTATCACTTTTTAATTTAATTTTTTATCTATCTTATCTTTTACTTTTTTATATTTTTTTACTTTTTAGCACTTTTATTATTTAATTTGTATGTTTTACTTGCTAACAAGCACCTATGTGATAGGATTTGGAGGTGACAGGTTCTCTTTATTAAACTACTACAGGAGTAGCACAGCACTGTGCTGGAGCATCTGTGATAGCTGAGATGTGAAGGCTGTGAGTGCAGCTCTCCTGACTCAGTGTTTACACGGAGCAGAGCGGAGAACGGATGTTCTCCGCTTTGCTCCCTGTTCTCCATCCTGAACGAATGTGCTGTGGTCCCGGGTCCCCCAGAAGAGCAGGACACCCCAAAAACCAGAGCAGGAGAAATGTGGCCAGCACACAGAGGAAGTCGGAGGTGGGGGCGGACTATGGAGGGGGGTGGTGGAGGGACAGAGGAACAGGCTAATTACAAGTGATCTCAGTGGCATCGCCAGGATCACTTGTATAAAATTAGCTGCAGCTTCCCTGCTCTACATTTAGCTCTGATTGCCCAAAGCAGGGCTACATGTAAAAAAAAACTACCTGTCCGGCACCTGGAACTGCATGTCTTGGGCATTGGGTGATAGAAACTCCACACACCTGCCACCCCTCTACTCCCTGTCGCCCCGAGGCCGGGTCTTGGTGGCCTTGTGGAAAATCTGGCCCTGACTATAACATAAAGAGAGTCCCAAGTCTATCAAGGGTTAATTAATAAAAGTTTAAATAATGTTTCAAAGTAACATTAAACCCTCAGTGATAAACCACTGTGTGAGACAGATATTTTAAATTATTTGACAACCAGTAACTGTTTTCTGTTTGTGTACACTGGTCCGCTTAAGAATTACCTTGGCAGCTCTTCTATGGACAGCAAATGGTAGCCACGGTGTAGTCCAGTTCATTCATGGACACATACAGGGAATATTGTCACACTGAGGCCAGAAGCCTCAGATAATGCAATAGCTGGAATGATTGCTAAGTACAAAAAATGATATCCTGCAGAGAAATTGTAACTGACTAAAAATGCAATAATGAATAAGCTGCCATATATTTAAGTTTTATTTTGGAGTTTAGATACATTTTAACTGCCCTTCATTGAACATAATGTCAACTGTAAAAGCAATAAGGTTCAGGCTTTGTGTAGCAAAAAAATCTGTTTGGGCTTCAGAATTTTACACTATCTAGATAATCTTGAAAGCGCAGACAACAAGCTAGGACTGTGATATTAGTGGCTGTGAAGGATCATTTTAATATAAGAAAGTGGGCACAAGTGAAGGCTCATTGTCATAGACGTATACCATCTTTGTGAAAGATTTCATTTTTATTTATATCTATACCTCTTGAGAGGCTTAATGGAATGAGAAGCTGAAAGGAATGTTGCATATGTGTTTCTGTAGAGTGGGACATGAAAGCAAACCTGTTGCTTTGCTCTGCATGGTTTCACAGCTTGCACCATGGAAAACCCACATCCTCAAGACACCTGAAAAGCTTGGTAAATATTAAGCAAGATAAGAAAGATGAGGTTGTGGACTGGGTTGTTAAAGTCAAAAGGTTAAACTATTTCAAATGCTGATTAAATCACCTACAATGGATGCTGCTTCTTGATGTTTAACAATGTTAGTTTCCTACAGAATCAGCTGTCAGCACTGACCCTGATATCCTGTTTTAGGGTGGCTCCTTTCCCTTGCAGAGTCCTAATGAGCCACCCTTGTGTGTGCTAGTAAGCTGTGTGTCTCTACAAACACACAGGCACAGCAAGGCAAGCCACTGTCCTAGGCAACTCCTCCTTTCTCCAAGCTAGTAGATGGACAGATGGAGATTGATCTGTATCTTGTAATCTTGTACTGGACTGGAAATTCAGGGAAGCTGAGGTGAGAGTTAGAGCTGTTCGGAAACATGATAACTTTAAGGGCTAGTTCACACCACAAAGAAAGCGTTCCAGACACGGAACGCACTGGATCACATCCCTGCCGGCTCCCTGCATTGAGGGATGGGAGGGGGCGTGTTGGTGCATTGAAGTCAATAGCACCACAGCCACACACCCCCAGCCGCAGTGCGATCACCCACCTAAATGCGTGGCACATCAATGCATGCATTCCAAAAGTGCATGTAGCATTTTTTCTGACTGCACGGGACCAAAATCGATTCGGCACAAAATCTGGCCGGAACGCACTGTTTGTGGTGTGAACTAGCCCTTAGTGTTTGGGCAAAACAACTTAAAGAAATCCTTTGCTGGGCAATGTATATTTGTTTGATCTGGATTAATTATTGATAAAAAGATTGAGAGTTTAATACTACCTTAAACAGTACTTGCAGGTCTGTTTGGAATTAGGATTGGTTTTGGTGTTTGGGTCCACAACCTGACAAACTTTTCTTTAGTTTTTGATAAAACAAGAAAGGATTAGAACCTCTGTCAGGATTTGTCTGTGGTCTGTGACCCCTGATGAGGAAAAATTCCCTTCACTACCTGTCCATCGGAGACACAAACAGCAATTGAAGAATTTTCCTGAGCTATGCTTTTGGCAGCAAAATAAATTGGCACCGGGTGAGGTGAGTACTGGCCTGATAGTTCAGGTGAAAGTTCATGATCAATTGAAAGTTTAGGTGATGATTTTATTTTTGAGGTTATGATTTAAATTATAGCTAGTTTTAAGGTCAGGAGGTAGGGGTATATATGTAAGGGTTAGGTTAAGTGTGAAGGTAAGGGGAAAGAATATATTGGGATACTGAATGGGGTTCCTTTTAATTGTTACATTTCATGTTAGGTCATTCATTTTAAGGTTTAGGTTTGGGCTAAATGTTAAACTGTTAAGGATTATTATCAGATTTAGGTTAGAGGTTATATTTTGGTGTTAGAGAGAGCTTAAGTGGTAAATGTTAATTTCAGGAGGTGAGTTAGGTGTTAAGGTTAGGGGGGAAACAGGGTTATATGTTAGGGATAGATAGATGGAACACAAGTCCGGTGCTAAAAATTGAAGTAACAAAAGTAACCTGCTGAGTGATAAATGCCTTATTCAATATGAAGAAGAAAGGTAAGAGCATATGTTTGGTTGTTACTGTTTACTTTGTAAGTTCAATAATTTTTATAAAATTTTAAAAACAAAGTATAACAGCATAAGAAGGTAAATGTGAACAGCACAGAAACAAACTTGTTACACAAATTGGGATACACAATACAATGAACAAAATAACAAAGATGTATCACCACTGAGCAGTGAAAACTCAAAGGATAGGGAGAAATGAACAGGGTACCAGAGATTTATCAGTGGACCAAGTCTGTGCATAAAATGATGAAATGTGGGTATATCCCAGGAAACCAAGTAGGGCGATGCAAAAAAGTGAGCAACAGAAAAGCCACCATGAAATAAATGCAGATAAGAGCGGGGGAAAAGAAAATGGGGGAAGCGAAAGAAAGATCAGAAAGAAGCAAAATGAGAGAAAAAGAAATAGACAAGGGTGACTCCACTCCTGGTACTGGGTTCAAGGGTGGCAAAGTCTTCTACATGTTGTTAGAGCGCAAGTAGGGGACATTCAAGATCATGAGAATGCAAATACTGGATCCATAGATCCTAAATTTGTAAAAAATGTGGGACCTTATCTGCCAGACGGGCCGAGAGTCTTTCGTTAACAATGGTCCAATGAAATCTACACTTTACTTCGAGGGAAGCGATAGAGACATCCACAACTTTGCCACCGTCTGCATGGCAGCAGTGAGACAATGCAATAGGAATTTACGTTGTTTGCGTGAAAGCCCAGCAGGAGGGAAGTTAAGCAAAACCACCATCGGGTCTAGTGTCAGCGTTGTATCTAGTAAACTGGAAAAAAAAAATCAAAAACTTGAGTCCAAAAAGATTGAGCTTTTGGGCACTGCCACCATATGTGCATAAAGTAGCCCACTTCTCCACAATGTTGGAAGCAGAAGCCAGCATGACCCGGAATAAATGCCCGAAGGCGGCTGGGCACTGAATACCACCTATACAGTATCTTGTTATTGGTTTCCAACACCTGTGCACTTTGAGAACTAGACTTAGCCATCTGTTACTGTAAATCTGTAGATTTTCACTAGCTCCCTGTCCTGGCAAAAACCGATATTAGAATTAGACAGCATGTCACTTAGACAGCATGTCACTTAGACAGAATGTGTGGGGAAATCTCCCAAAAGGGACTCAGACAACAGTAAAATCATGTCAGAGGTTCTTACTTTTCCTAATATATGCAAAGCTAAAAAAGAGAGTTTAGCTATGAATGCTGAGCATTCAGGGAAACTGATACCTGAATGACCCTCTAAGGCCATTTCAAATAACACGTAATTTGAAGCAAATGCACATTTTAAATAACTATATATAAGAACATTTTACCTGTCAAATAATGTGTTATTCTTTACAAGTATTCTTCTGAATACATTGTTAAGGTTTTCCAGTTTCATTTTTAAACAACCACTAAACAGTGGTAAGAATTTTCTATATATGGTCCATGACAAATATGGCATGAATACTTTCATGTTGTAATGTTTGAGTTCCACTTGAGCTGTGTTCACTTGCAGTGAACAAACCATACGCCATTATACCACTTATTAAAGAAAAGTCTGCTCTATTAAGAGATACTTCATCTGTGTTGTATTATACTTTTTCTGTTCATAAAACAACCTGCTCTACAATGTGAGCATCTGGATAAACATTTTTATAGTAGGAGAAAAAGTGTATGTTATAATACAGTGTAAGATATAAAAACAAATCCCAGTAATCTACATTTCAAAGGCCTCTCATAGTGACTGATAATAAATAAACATAGATAAAGATCCATGGTTATGCAGCTTACCAAAACAATGACAGCTGGCAATGGAGTATGCTTGTGCACGTGAATCATGGAAAGGATCTCAGGAAGGTGACCCTCTCGAGATGCAACAAAAAACATCCTGATGGAAAAAAACAATGAATTATGCATTTAACACTTCACATTGCTACTCTCAGAATTATGGTAACAAATGAAATGTGTTGTATTGTTAATTGTTAACCGAAATTATTACCACCACATATATTGCTGTACTGAATTAGGAGTACATATTTACTTACAAACACACCATACACCTTTAAAAAATACATATGCATGAAAACTGAAGGAAAACAATTGTGTGTGGATTCATATAATTTAGCAAATAAGTTTAAACTTTTTATTCAATTTGTCATATACAGGGGAAGAATGGTTTTAGCACTAATGGAAAATGTATGGTGGATGTTCTATGAATATTTTTCTTGTTTTTTGTTGTTGTTGATTTTGTCTAGTTTTCTTCCCATGAGAGTGTCACAACATGATGTTTATATTGTTATATCCAGAAATAATAAATAAATATTATACAATTTGTCATATACTGTATAACTGAAAGGTGGGTATGCATTATGTTGGACAATACAGCCAATTTTCCTTTCTCCAGGTTTGAACATTTTCCACACTGAATTTTGATTAATTTAAAAGGCTATGTAAGCAAACAATTATCTAACCAAGAAACAAAGTTTCTTGTTTAGAATAGGTATTAGAACTTGAATTTGGTTAGAATAACATCTGTCAATACACAGTTGCTGATTTACTAAAAGGAATAGAGACTGTTCACATAGCAAAGGGAATTTTGAGTAAAAAAGGTGAATCTGTGCCTCAGTTATCCATTGTGCTAAGTGGACACTCAATTCCTTTGGTAAATCAACCCTATTGAGCAATACAATAAAATAAACAGACATGTCTTTAGCCACATCCTACTCTTACTGAACTGGATTGGGAAAATGCCAACCCCAAACAAGAGCTCTTATTCGTAGCAATTGTAAGATTTATTGTTTGATTGAGAATGCTTGGAGACCCCTGTTAGACTGAGACAACATCACAGTATTGTAAAACAGATATTAAGACTATTCAGGATCTGTTTTTAAATGTATGCTGCCTTTGCAAAATAATTCAAAATTTATTCAAAAGCGTAACACCACCAAAGGAGTGCCAAACCAAATATTGAAAGAGTTCCAGTTGCATTAATGAGGGAGGAGCGTATGTGCCTGGTTTTGGTTTGTGGGTCATTCTTTAAACCCATCTTAAAGTCCAGAAATTGCTAACTTAAATCTGAATCCCATTTATGTCTATAGGGGGGTGAATCTTGAAATCAATTTTGCCCATTTTCAAGGCTCATAGGCAAATGATTGTCAAACAAAGGGCACAGAGAGCTGGGTACTTGTTTGTGTACCTTTCCTTCCTTTTCTATGCTTGGCAGACGTCTTTACGTTGTGAAGAGTACGATTCTCACAAACATCATTGGTGACACCATATTTTGGCATCACATATTTTGCCTCTGAAATTTCTTCATTAACTTTTACATTTAACTTGGCCTAAATACAGCAGCAACATCCTTATAATATGTATTTAAACTAGAAAAATACTTCTTTAGGCAGTTTTAGCTGTGATACCAGGTTTTTTTTTGCATATAGCGGTAATAGGCCTGATTTAAACTGTGGAAGTAGCAGCCACAAGAGATCTAAAAGCTATAGGAAAGTTTATTCACCCAAAATAAAACATAAACCTAAAACTCTCAATGTCATATAAATTGGACATTTCATAGCACAGAATGTCAAACCGCCATCCTATCCCCATACAGTATCTCTTATTATTCCCTAAAATATTCCACAAATAGGATTTGCGTGTTTATGGGCTAAATGTGCACATGCACATGTATATCTGAGGACTTGAATAGGCTGCATATAGAAAGAGGTCTATTAGTGGAAGCAGCATCTCAATTAGACAAGTCGGCAGCAAAAGGCATATCCTCCCTGTTGCTCATGGGGTGCATAGCAGCCACTTTATTTTGGAGTGCTGTTATTGCATTATTTTACTCCTTCATCTGTCATGCATTTTTTGCCTGCTAATGTGCCCCTTTTCTCCTTCTCCTCCAAGTTGAGGAGACGTTTTGAGGTCCTGGTGGTGAGGAGGAGGAGGGTTGGGGTGCTGGCGGTGAGGAAGGTTGGTGGTGATGAAGAGGAGGAAATTTTAGCAGGTTTCAAAAGTGACATTTCATCTGCATGACAAGGAATCTTTTTACCACATTTCCTAATGGTGACTAGATCCACTGCACTGTAAACATAGCTGAAGGGGAAAACTAATGGGGTAAGGTGAATTGGTGACTTTGGTTTGATACTTGTTGTTGAAACAGATAGAGCTGCCCTTTGTGTGTGGCATATCACCACACACTTGATTGCTACAGTGGTGTGCTCCAATCACCCTCTAATTTGCCCCCTTATTTGTCATAGCTGCCATTACATTTCTTAAATCTGGTATCTGCCTCCACTGCACTGAAGACAAAAGGGTCTGTTCGGCTGTTCGGCTGTTCGGCTATTCACTTCAGGCTTGTACGGCTGATTTCAGCCGTAAACCGACTAAAATCGCTTTGCTGTGGCTGGCTTCGGGTCGGGCCGAGCGCCATTCGGCTCGGCTATTCTGCTCCTCTGTGGTACCGAGCAGAATAGAAAAACTGTTTAAAAAGCAGAAAATAGAAAACGATTGGGCGGAGCTAGCAGTGACAGCTAGCTCTGCCCAACTGTTTTCTATTGGCCAGGCGATTCTGCTGTCGTCAGAATAAAAAATAAAAATAAAACACCATAGGAATACTAGATTCCTATTGGCTATTTCACTTTGCAATAGCAAATTAGCTATTGCACCCGCCCTCTGCTGCTGTCAATCACTAGAATGGGACCTGATGGAGAACTTCAGGTCCCCTCTGCTGATTGACAGCAGCAGTGGGCGGTTGCAATAGCTAGTTTGCTATTGCTATTAGTTAGAAGCCGCTGATCTATCCTCCAATCTGTCAGGGGAGAACCTCCACACGCGGCCTGGGCTCACACGAGGGACAGATGAGCCCAGGAAGCTGACGGTGGCACCAGCGGCCGTGGAGGAGGGGGACACGGCGCCGCACCGTACAAGCGATCCAGCGCCTGTACAGACGCCGGATCGCTTGTATTTAACCAGCAATCACCAGCTGTTTAACATGGTACAAGAACATGGCTTCAGGAGTAGCCGTGTTCTTGGTATAACCACGTCCAGCGGATGACTACAGTTACGTGAACCCGCGGGAAGTGGTAAAAAAAACACACACGTGTAATGAAACACACACATCAACACATATCACACACACACATATCAGACACACTCATTAACAATTAAAATAGTTATTTGAAAAATGTCCCCCTTTCCTGCTTACCTGTTTTGCAAGAAGGGGGGCTGCATCCCTGGGTCCAGTGAAGGATCAGTGTGATCTGCACTCTGGCTGATGCAGACCATACTAATCACTCCCTGCCTGTTAGCAGAGGCACCACGAGGGAGCAATCAGTATAATCTGCATCAGCAAGAGATGCAGATCATACTGATTCCCACTGGACCACCAGGGAATGATTTTCATTCAATATATTGCCTGTTCAGCAATATATTAAATGAGATATTGGCGCTTGCCAGGTTTAAAGATGATCGCTGCTGTTTGCGCCGCCATCTTTAAAAATCGAATGTACAGTGGAGACCCCCTGGGGACACCGGAAGCCTCTTCCGGTGCTGCGGGGGGCCAGGCCGCCTCCACCTCCTTGCCTGTCACTTGTAAGGCAGATACCTATTTAAGGTTCCTGGGCCCCTTACATCAGTATCGGCTGTACACCCCTGACGGCGGCCCTGCATATACATATAGCATTATCTATTTGTACAACCGACATATCATTGCCAGATGTTCTGTATTTTCCTATTTCATTTTATAATAATAGTAATAACAGTATTTAGCAGTTGTATTAGCAGTCATAGTTTTAGTAGAATCTCACCTTGATACAGCAAAAATCCCACCATTCATGGAGCCAAAACATGATAAAGCAACAAATATGGGAACTGCCAATGAGAAGCTTCCCAAAAGACGCTCTGCATATGTCTGAAAATGAAATACATGATTTTTAGAATAATGTACAGGGGTCTGTTGTCTGTTTAGTTAGCTTGCTGTCAATAAAACACATCAATAATTAAGCTTTTTTTATGGAGCCCGCCCTTTAAAAAAAAATCATGCTGTATGAAAACTATTAGCAAAATAAAACCAGAACATTTGAGAGAGTGTAATGTTTAGTTTACGTGCATTGATACTGTATTATTAGACCATATAGTTAACCAGAGCTATAGGGGGTCCTCATGATTCCTCTTAGCATTCAAATAAAAAGAAAAAGTAGAAACAACTTGATGTAACTGATGTCTTTTTGTTCTGCTGTCTTTCCTTACTGCATTAGATGAAGGTAAAAAAGGACCTTATGATAAATAAGTCCCTGTTCATATATAGGTATATCATCATCATTAATACACTGTAACCTGTGTGTTAGAGTCTATAAAACATAAGTGACTAGGTGTATAGCAGTTTAAGTTTTCAAATGTCGAGAATAGTCAGAAGCTTTATTTTTTATGACTTCTCACACCCATGCACTCAGGCATGAAACTGCATTTTCCAGTAAGTGGTTGGGAAGTGTGTTACATCTGTTTACTTCTCCGAAGTCACAATGGTTATGAATCACCCCATACGGGTAACATAGCCTGTCATGCACATGTAGCAAGACTGCAAACTGCAAAAAACACTTCAGCTAAGATGGAAGCATACGCTCTGTAAAGTTACTGTTCATGTATGTAAATTGATGGTCTGGGCCACTATTGGTGTCAATTTTAACTTGATCACTGAACAATGCTTATATAAATATTTGTAACATTTGATAGATAATGCATAATGTACAATCTAGCAACAGAGACTGTATGTAAATATTACTGTTCCATCAGTCTTAACCCTTTATGTCTGGAGACATACACTGTACGTCCCCAGCATGAAGTGCCCAAATGACTGACCATGTACACTATACATGATCAGTTTTGAAGCTTTTAAAAGCCGGTAAATGCTAAGATCAATGGTTACTGTTCATTAATGGATGTATCAGTATTGAGGCATCCATTAATACATGAATTAAGTTTTTGTAAAAGTTTAATTCTTTCATCAATGAAAGAATTAAGCGTTTACAGATACCTGATCGTTGTCAGCGATCAAGTATCTGACCGTGACAACAGAGCCGTGGGAACGGCTCTGCTATATCACTGTTTTGACAGCTCTGCACACATCGGGATCTGTTTTGACAGCTCTGTACAGATCCCGATGTGTACAATGATACAATGTTTCATTTCGCTACATATTTCTATGCTTCCTAGAAATCTGTAGCTATATGAAACATTTGTATCATTGTAATAAAAACATTGTATCAGACTTCTGATTGTTCTAAGAACATCAGAAGTCTGTAGTGACATCTGAATCTGACATGCTGCAGATTCAGTCACTAAGGTTATTATTGACTGCTTCTAAGTTTTAAGCAGCCTAATAATAACCAAGAATTAAAAAAATACTTAAATTACCAAGCAGTCATAGTGGCTGCTTAATATAATAGACAAAAAAGGGGGGGGAAGCATAAAGTAAAAAATAAAAGAGGGAAAAAATAAAAATAATTTCACAAAATAAAAATTATATATACAAATATATTTTATCCTATAATTAGTATACAAATTAACCTCTTACAATGAACATCTGCAGCTGAGCTGCAACTTTGTCTTACACCCTAAGGGATTATTTTTTCTATTTAACCCCCTCATGATGGCGTTGTTCAAAATATGTCGCTGTCACTAAGTGTGACAGTTATTGACACTTAGTTATAGTTAGGGATGCCCAGATACTTTTCGAGTACCAGTGCAGATACATGGCATTTTCAAGAGAACTACCAGGGTTGCAGCGGTTGCAGCTGGGACCTGGCTCTGGCGCTCCACCACTGTCCTGAAATCATTAGTCTGTATTGTTTTAGAAAAACTGTCACATGACAATAAACAAAAATGTATCAGTACTCGTACTTGTAAGTACTCGGCAAGTATCAGTACTTGTACTTGCAAAACTGGTATCTGTGCATCCCTTTATTTATATTTATAAAAACAAAATAGTACATTAAAACAGAGATGTACTAATCCCAGGAGCTCTGTGTGCTCCTTACAAATGATAGCTGCCTCCTAATTTTTGAATTTTTCTCTAGTCTAGTCTTGTAGCTCAAAAGTATCGGTACATGTACTCGTACTTGTACCGAGTACTGTACTTGTTATCTGTGCAACCCTAGTTACAGTGACTTTTTTTGGCCACCTAACCTAACCACTATTAGGTTTTAGAGGGAAAAAAAAGTTAGCTTTTTGTTTTTAGGCCCAGAAGTACAAACTAATTCTCATATCCTAAGGATGCGAGATGTTTCCAAATAAAGGACAAATAAATGCATTTATTTTAATGCATTTTTTGTAGCTGTACTATTATTCTAAAAAAAACAATAATAATCAAAACTGCGGAAAAAGTACTTTCTTTAAGTTTTTTCCTCTTTTTTTATATTTTATTCAACCTAAGTGAGGCATTAGACGCACATATGTGATATAAATACATAGCCCTATCTGTCCTCTAAAAAACAATATACAGGTGAAACTCGAAAAATTAGAATATTGTGCAAAAGTAATTGCAGTAAGTGCTGCAAAAGGGGCCCAAACCAAGTACTGAGTACATATGCATGCTTGTACTTTTCAGATGTCCGATATTGTTCTATGTACAATCCTTGTTTTATTGATTGCATGTAATATTCTAATTTTTTGAGGTTGTGGATTTGGGGTTTTTGGGGTTTTCATGAGCTGTAAGCCATAATCATCACAATTATGACAAATCACGGCTTGAATTATGTTGCTTTGCATGTAATGAGTCTATATCGTATATTAGTTTCACCTTTTAAGTTGCATTAGTGAAATAAATGAACTTTGCACAATATTCTAATTATTCGAGTTTCACCTGTATAATATGTGTGGGTGCACTTAGTAAGAAAGTATATTACTGTCATGGAAGAATCACACAGCAAAAATGTATAAAGTGCTTCAGTCATTAAGGACCAGAAACAGAAAAAAAGCTCAGTCATGAAGGGGTTAAAGGCTAGGTTTACCTTTTGACCCACGTTTCATGTTACACCAATATTCTGTGTGTAAAATGAAACATGGTCAGGTCACAACTCCCCGTCCCCTCTTGTTTTGTTTTAGTTAATATTTAATAGTTAATAGTTAAGGTACTTGAATGCATTGTTAAGGTTTAACTCCCGAGTTTAGTGTTATAGTGTTACTTTAAGGGCCTGATCATCTATAAATATTAGAAGCCAATGCACAGTCCATACTTGTTCAAAATACTGTAAATAATTGTCAAAGTAAAAAGCAGACATCACAATTCATTCAAAGAAATGAATGCCACATTAACCATGCTTCCTTTCTTGTGTATTAATAAGTTGGCACATGTCTCATACTGTGCAAAGATCTCAGGTAGGGAAAGTGGCAATGTGGCAAAGTAATCAAAATACATCTGTATAAACGATAGACCCTATAACATACTTATACTATTTTAACAGATTTGGAAATATGTGTGCATAACCCTGCATATGCAGATCATTGGCAAATTAGGTTACCTTTCTTTGCCAATAATTGGTACACCTATGGTCATCTTTCCACACCTGATAATATTAAAGGTGGGCATATAAATGTAAAAAAAAAACAGTATAGGCATTTTTCTGGAACAAGTTAACACTAAAAAGTTGGAAGCATTCAACATAGACCCCATCCAATAAAATATTGATAGCATTGTTGGGTGAAAGAAGTTGATAAGTCTCATTATAAAATGTAATTATTTGCATCTAACTCAGTGATTTAGTTTTGTTGCCAAATAATGTCACACTGCTCTATTCGAAAATAAAGGTCAAAGTCTGTGGCAAGATTCTAATAATTAATTCACAGCTTTAAGTCTTGTTTGTTTCATTTCTGGAAATGCATGTTCATAACTTAAAACTCAAAAACTCAAAACTTAAAAGTATCTTTGATCAAAGTACTTTTTCATTGGTTTGGAAATAGATCCACACAAAACACATGTCCAATTGTGCCGTAGCTCAGATTAATGATATATGTATTTAATTAGAGCTGGATAATAACATTGTTTTGAAGACACAAGAGACATTAGCAGATTAAATCTGAAATAAACATCCAGTTCATGTACTGATATACGAGTGGCCAGATTATTATTATATACTTCCTTGCCACGAGATAACTCCATGAGATGACTTCGTTGGGCCGCCTCGTGACTCCACGAGATGGTGAAAGGTGATGCGAGGAATCTGACACTGCACTGTTGTCCTTCTGTTGTCTTGTACCAGTCTTGCCACTCTCCGTTCTGCCCTTACATTGACTAGTCGCTGACGGCCACAATTCGCACGTTCAGACCCAGATTTTCAGCTGACAGTCCAGTCTTTAAACACTTTAACAATGAGCATCTCTTGAACATTTAACGAATTCTGCTGTTTTGCTGATACTCGTTCCATGGGTCGCGCCAACAATCATCCCACGTTCAAAGGCTGTTAAATCGCTTTGTTTACCCATATCTTCAGAAAAAAAATCACTTATACTGTCGTGGTAAACAACCTGCTTCCATATTTATAATGGTCTGGCCCTCTAGCAACTTCAGCACGAAATTATAGCTAATTATAGCTAATTTGCCTACAAATGTCAGGTGGTCATAATAAACTGGCCACTCAGTGTATATATTGTAGCAGAGCATAGCTGAGGGAGGCTGGGAAAGTCCTGTTCGGAGTTTATAGGTCTCGTAGGTTCTTCTCCTATACATTTAGGTGAACCACTGTACAGCACCTGTGGAGACTAGTAAATATCACCAATAAACACTGCATTGTTTGTCACTACTCCCTTGGATTTGGAATCTGTGCCCAAGAGACTGCTTATGTATTTTCCAAATCTGCTATTTTGGCCTAGATTGTTCATTTCTCCTGCCTTCTCCCCAAACTCTTCACCCTTTTGTGAATAACCCTATTTATATATGAGAAACACTTACCCACAAATATTTAAGTTATTTAACCTTGAGTCAAACAGCTAATTGCATAATTGGGAACAAAAACAGTATATTTCTATTCATTCTTCTGATGATGCACACACCCCTATTGCATCACACAACATTGATGGTGACACCACAATTGCAGCTTTGCAGTTTTGTGTCACTGGTCTACCTGTCTATGAATAAGCATATGTAAGATGCCTAGACACCCCCATTCTGGCCTCCAGTACCAAAACATTTTCCACTAACAGCACTGAATTTGAAAGTCCGTGAAGCAAATTTTAGGTATAAAATAAATATAGATTTCAGGTAATTATACTAGTGATAATGTCCAGTATATTAAAATAGATTTAATGGATATTTATAGATTTTAAAACTAGATTAAAGGTGTCTTACTGCACACAGCCCCTTGATAGCATTAGTGAAGTCTAATAGGTTATCTCATTGGCACAGAAGCCTTGACAGTCCAGGCTTATTATCCAGTTATTTGTAGCATTTAAAATGAGCCCAATTACAAGTTGTGATAGACACATTTCAGCTTTCCTATTCATACTTACCTTGAAATTATGCCTGCTGCCTCTGGTGTTTGTATACCTTGTGCCTGCCAGATGCTTGTAAAATGGTCCCTTTGAATCCAATGGAAAACTACTATATAGGCACGGCCAGTGCACTAAAGATCTGCCAGCAGAATATAAATAGGCACCAGAGGCAGCAGGTATGATTGTGACGTAAGTAAACATATTCTATTTAACTAAATATGTTGGATTACATAGATCAAAACATTTTCTTTTTCACCTAATTATCATGAAAAGATGCACAAAGTTGTTATTATTAGAAGCAGATATTAACAATCTACACGATTAAGTAAATGAGAATGTATATTTAATTCATTTTTGACACTTCGTTGATATCAAAGAAAGTGACATTGAGACCTTCTCATTACTTAAAAAGCTGACAAAGATCATGTACTAGTTTTCTTCATCTCTAACTGTAAACAGCCAGTTAACTAGTTTTTCACTGGGTAGATAAGATTTGTTTTGTTTTGCTTCAAAGTGCAATACAAAACCAGCTGTGCTTAACTGTGTTCAAGCTAATTATTTTTTATGTTTTTATAGTTTATGTCCAAATACAGGAAATAATACACAAGAGAAGCACAATATCAACATGATAGTATATTATATTTTTTAAGCTGCACAAGATAATGGATCATATTATTATGGATATATTATTTGAAAAATCTTAATGGCTTGACTATTTCCGGCAGGCCGTGTATACACAGCGGCTGGCCGGGAGGTAGTTAAAGTGACACTAAGCTTGAGTTAATTCTTAAAAATGCCTTATTAACAAAAATGTATTTTATTTGTACATCATTTAGCTGTAGATCCTGAAATCATCTCTGAATTCATACTGACTCTTTTGTTCGCCATGGTCCCTGAGTGTGTTGTAAAGTAGTCACCGCTTCAAGCTCATTCTTATGATGGACTACAAGCTCAATACAAATTAGTAAACTAATCGTGAGATTGTAGTCAATCACGGCAATGATCTTGGAGCTGTGGCTACTTTGCCACACACACAAGGACAAAAGTAGCCACCCTCCAGAAGGAAGGACAGTTTCAGCACCAATTCAGAGATTAAGTGATTTCTGCAGCTCTTAAGACTTCTGCACCTGCCCAATGGTAGTATGGCCTGCTCTTCAGCAAACTGCTCCAGCTTTATCAGGTTTCAACAGTGCCTTCTCCAGACTGTACATTTAGGTGCTTCCCATAGATGTTTAACAGGAGATTCAGATAAGGGCTAATTGAAGACCATTTAGGAATAGGCTAATATTTTGTTCTTAGATATTCTTGGGTACTTTTGGTTTTGTGTTTTTGGTCATTATCCTTTTGGAGGACCCATGACTTCAACTGAGACATATTTTACTCTAGAATCCCTTAATAGTCTAGATTTTTTTTTATTTCCTGCACACACTGATATCACCCCAAGCCACATGCAGCAAAGCAGCCCCAAATTATAACAAAGCCTCCTCCGTCGTTCACAGTAGTTGCAGTGTCCTTTTCTTTAAAAGCTTCAATGTTTCACTACAATCAGACACTGATGTACATTGAGCTTGGAGTTCAGCTTGTAACTCTTTGGAAGTTTTTCTAGGGTGTGTGTTGTTCAAACTATGCTTTTGCTCAATTTGAGGTTGTTTTTCCTCTTGCAGCAATATCCAGGGAGGTTTTCTGCATTCCCATGGCCCTTAATTTTCTTAATAATATTTGCAACTGTAGTCACAGGAAGATCAAGCTGCTTGGAGTTGGTCTTATAACCTTTACCTTTGAAATCGTTTATAAATAGACCCCTATGTGTTGTCAATAGTTTCTTTAATACAATATTAAGAAAATATCCCTTACTCTTAGAATTGTGACATACAGGTTACAACTCCATAAACTTGTCATAGCAATTCAAATAACTTTAGCAAATGTATCTGTAAATTACTGATCACATAGGCTTTATGTTCTCTTACCACAGCAACTGCACTGGAAACCACTAGTTCTTCTGCTGTAATGGTTGTGTAGTAGGCCACGTTGGTTAAGACATATCCAACTGTTACAGTCACCATTGATATACATATTGCAAGTGGGATGGTTCTATAAAAGAGAAAAAAACATTTTAATGTTAATTCAATTGGCTAATGTTGTGATGAGCTGAACATGCTGTATTTATCATATGTAAATGTTTGTTTAGCAAGGTATACTGTATGCATGCTTAGACTAAGGAAGCTACTTTGTGTGAAAGCCTGTTTTAAGAGAATGAAGGAAACAGAAGCTAAACCTGCATAATCTTCACAGTTAAAAATCTAACGAAGCAGAGCTGCCCATAAAATATATTTTTTTTGTGGGATAAGATCACCATAAACAGCCAAAAACAGGTAAATAATAAGGTTGATAATAAGAAAATGGCAAATGTTGCTTGCAATAATGGGATTATTTGTGATCTCCTAAGAGGGAATCGCTTCTCGGCCTTTTGGCTAAGATCAAGTGTAGTATCTGTTCTTATCAGTTTTCAGGAAAGAAAGGCATCGATCCACCGGGACGGAGAGATGCCCAGTATTCCCTGATGTGATTGGTGGGTACTGGAGGGGCCTCCTTTCCTCCTGGGTTGATTCTGGTCAGGTTACGCCGGGCTTGTCCCCAGTTGTAGGCAGGAGGCTCTGAAGGTGCTAATGCCTCCTGAGAGAATGGGTGCGAAGCTTGGTCGAGGCTAGAGGGTTGGGGGCGGCAGAAGCCCGTGGTGTTGTGCCCCCTGGGGGTGGCGTCCCAAGGGAGCGCAGAAAGTCGCTTGGGTATGGGACCCCACATGACTCACTGTGCACTTGGTCACACACCACATTGCAATTTTCGCCTCCAAGACAGGCCTTATGGCTAGTCTGGGGCAATATTTTTGCACTCCGGCCCCTAAGGCCTGTCAGAGTGGTGCACTGGCACTTTAGATTATTTAAGCACTCTATCCACTTTTGGCACTTTTTTATTTTAAATTTTGACCCACAGATGCGAAAGGTGCAGGTTTCTTCGGGGCCTATTCCTGACGCTGGGAGGAGATTCTGTGCCTCCTACGGGGTTCTCTGTCTCCTCCCACCCAGGAAGGGGGTCTCTCTTCGGGAGAGCCCCCTTGCTTAGTACTGTGAGGGACCTGTTTCGGCAGGGCCCCGAAGGAAATGGGTCCACCGGCCTTCGGGTTGGTGGACCAACAGTCTCAACCCCTGTCAGGAGCCTTGCGCCCCGGGGGGTCGGGAAAGTAGGTCCCTTCTTTGGAAGGACCTTGCACCCTTGTGCACGTTTTTGTGTGCTGTGATTTCACGGTTCACATTTTTTTGTTCACAGGGGGAAGTTTTGATGCACGTCCACGGGCTTCGAAAAAAAAAAAAGAGGCAATCACAAGTACAGCTTGTGGTCTTAGGCATTAGTTATTGCAATATTTCCATTTGAAATGCAAATCTCTGCCATGACTGTAAACATTTACATTAGACCTAAGTTTAAATTATGTTAACCTCTTGAAGACTGTGGTGTTAAAACCCCCTACCTGTTCAAGACATTTTTCAGTATTCAGCTTTGTGGTACTTTGACTGACATTTATTCTCTCATGCAACGCTGTACTGAAATGAATTTTATACCATTTTTTGGGGACACATAGAGCTTTCTTTTGGTGGTATTTAATCACCACTGGGTTTTTAAATTTTTTTACTATATTAAGGAAAAATTACCAAACATTTTGAAAAAAAACAACTGTTTACTCTCTATATTAAGTTATGAAAACATTTATTATTACCCAATTTTTGGGTACAATATCAAAAGATGAGGTCATGTCGAGTAAATAGACAACAAACATGTCAAGCCTTAAAATTGTTCTCATGAAACCGCAAAGAACGACAGTACCCAAAATTGCCTATGGGTGACATTTTAAAAGCCCTTATGTGATAGCACAGACACACTTACAGTTCCTCTTTATGGACTTAAGAGACGCCTAATGTCACCTGGGGACCCCCAAAGAAACTGATTAAGCAGAGATCTGCTTCACCAGCTTCCTCTCTGGCTATAGCAGACAGATAAATGACAGCTGAATTCGGAAGCAATCTAATCCACACCACTTCCAGATTCAGAGATTGGAGAGGGCATCAGCAAGTGGAACAAAGCCAATCTTCATGTTGAGAGCCGCTGAGCCAGTCACGGGCCCGCAGAGTGGACTAGGAATCAAGGGATAGTGGTGCTGGGAGCTGAAGGAGGGGGCACACACTGCTGGGCACTATTCAAGTGAACGGACGGCTATAGAGCCGCCAAATGCTTGTATATATAACAGCCATTGGAATGAGCTTGCCGTCCATATGTTTATTTACAACGGGCAGATGGCAAGTACTTATCCAAAAAGATTAAAAGTATAGACTTCAGGTACTGTATGTGTTTTTGGTAGAACATATTCAGAAAATATATAATGTTGGGGGGTTTTACGTCATTTTCAGGCCTAAAATGTGGAATATAACATGGGTGCAAAAATGGAAAAAAGGGCCTCAGTCATGAAGGGGTTAATAGACAGCAAATTGAAAGAGCTCTGCAGTTTGGGCCTCTGCTGCCAGCAAGACCATTGTGATCTACAGGCTCTGGATGCAGAGTATAAGCAATGGTAAAAGTGCCAGTGGCACCACATGTATGAGCAAACACATGATAATGCAACAAAAAAGGCTCATTGTGAGCAGAATCATAATAGTCAGCAGCAAAAGGCCTGAACTCGGTGTCAGGACAAGGTACCTGACAAGGTGAAAAGGCCAAAGTGTACCCCACCCCCTCCATGAGCTGGAAACTTGTTCAGCAGCACAATTTGCAGGTCCTGCCTTCTTTACACCCCCTTCTGCTGACGAGCCCAAGGAGGCCTACCTTTCTGCCTACCCACTGGCCCAACCCTGCTGCACTCTTCCTTATTCCTCGCTTTACATGCTCCACCCCTCCACAAGTATCACCATCTGCATCTACTACAACATCTGTGCCTTTAACCAATAGTAAGGAAAGTCTAAAAAGTAGTTTAAGAAGTTTACCTTACGGCACATCAAAATGGGAAGAGAGTCAGCATTGGGCCATGCTTAGCAGGGTCAAGCATAGGGTTTAACCTTACTATAAGTCTGCTAACCCTTCCCCACCATCTCCAACAATATTATTGACTAAGCAGGTGTCTCTTTTGCAGCTGCTGTAGTGGAAGAAAAAAAAAGAACCTAATTACCCTTGCAGCAGCTGCTATTCATTGAGGGGGATTTATCAAAACTGGAGCAGACAAAAACTGGAGCATATTTGCAATGCAACCAATCAGCTTATCTCTCTCATTTTCAAATCTCACCTGAGCAAACTGTAGAGAGATGTTGATTGGTTACCGAGGGCAACTGCTCCAGATTCTCTCTGCTCCAGTTTTGATAAATGCCCCCCATTGTCGTTCTAAGCAAAGACTGGCTGTAGAGACATTTCTGAAGTCTCCCACTTGATAGACAGCTAGAAAGAACTGACTAAACTCTCATTGGCTGTCATTATCTGGGTGAGCCTGCCCTCAGCAACCACAAAGAGGAGAGACTCTGATTGGATAGAACACAGAGTTTAGATGCTGCTGGGAGCTGAAAGCAATTGTGGGAAGGTGAAGTCCTTAAGAAATTGAGACACAGCTAGCCAGGATAGCACAGAACTACAATCCTCAAACGGCATGGCAGGAGAGGGGAAGGACTAGTGGTTTCTTCTGTTCAGCACACCAAAACAGAGGAGATTATCCTGCTTCCCTGATAAGTGGATGGATGTGCTGCTGACCTTTTGCTCTGCTGGGTTAAATACATTGCTACCGCTGCTGTTGCCATTAGAGACAGAGGCTTCCATCACTGTGGAGAACAGATGTCTAGAGAACCACGGGGAGAGAATTCAGAGACTGCTGAGGCTGCAACCAGTATCCTGCTCCCACCTGTCTGGAGACCTGCTGTCTGGAGACCTGCTGGATGATAGCTGAAAAGGGGAAATCCCTTTCTCTGGCCCAAGAGGGAATAGCCAATGGAAACAGAGATCCATCAGTTTGGTGAGAGGCTGTCAAGCCAGTGACTTTCTCATTGTGTTAAATGTGCTCCAATTTAAAATGTCTTAAAGTTATGAGGACATTGTTAGAGCTACAGGCCAGTAGTGTAGCAAATAGGGTAGGATTGCAATATAAGTGTGACTACCTTTAGTATTAGTAATGTTTGCATGATCAGACATCACTTAGTTAAATATTACCTGATGCTCATTATTACCATTGTCACAGTTCCTAAGATTTTATTGAAAATGTATTTACTAGGTTACTGTTCATGCTACAAGTTTTTCTGTTAAATTATGTTATCAGTTCTACCTGTTCAAAATCTAGGGCTTTGCCTTTTATTAATAAACCTCAATAAATACAGTCCGCAAGGTGTGTTGGTGTGTCATGGAGCTAGTCTGAGGAGTTTATCCTTAGTGTGGGACAGAAGATCCTGAAATTCACAGTGGCCCCTTGAGGAGAGGGGGAGTGCTATACGCCCAAGCCAAGTGTCTCAATGTCAGTTTGGTAAAACTTCTAACCTTACAGCTGCTCCCATTCCAGCTGATGGAGAAGGTCCCCTTCCACCAGTTTATGGCCCGTGGTGCGGCACAGTGGCAGATACCAACCGACCCAGCATAGGCCATTTTTGCCCAGAAGGCCATTCATGCCTTCCACTAGCATATGCACTGCTAATGTCTTTTTATTGCTAGATCAAGCGGTAGGATGCACATATCAACATGGGCAGGAATGGCACATCTCTATTGTAGCACGGTAAGTAACTTTACTTACTGAGGAAGACTCCCCAGTGATTTGTAGTCCTCAGCTCATTAACTTCCATTACAATGCAAAGATGATGTGTACTGAAACAAAATTGTTAATGGTGAGACTGCCATAGATGGACATTCACTTCTATAAGTGGTAAGAACTCCCCAAACAAGCAATGCTTTTAAATACAGATGAATTCAGATAATTCTTTAGACTTCAAACAGCCCTTGGCTATCAAGCGGAAGTTAATGAGCTGAGGGATGTAACTCGCTGAACAGAATTCCTACTCAAGTAAAAAGAGTAAATTGTTTTC